GCTGCCCATTATCTAGCTTATTTTTCCTCAGGCCATGTTAATATCTTCAAATCTGTGATGGATCTTCCTATGCAGGCCCGGTTAGCTTATTATTTAGATCTATTTGGGCTTCCCTCGTTGAGAATAGCCCGTTAGCCTGGTCTGGATGTTCTTCTTTATTTGTATTTCCAATGGGTCAGGTCTAGCCCCCCCATTGTGTTATTCACCTGAATAAAACACAGTATTTTTTGCCAAAAAAAAAAAAAAAAACATTACAAATAATTAATGAAAATAAAGTATTACACCAAAAGTGTGTAATTTCCACAACTAGAACTAATAAAACTAGTTAAAAATACAAACATACATAATAGGAAATTCACCCTATCAAACTCCCCCACACTTAGTTTCTTTACTCGTCCTCGAGTAAAGCCAAATTCTTACAATCTTTCCAAGTCCGATCCTCCATAGTTCAACAATTAACAATAAAGAGCAAAAGACCACCAAGAATAACACATGTGTTTTACATTGAGTTTTAGCTCAAAGAATAACATTTTCTTGGGTTTTATGGCCTTCTATGCTCATCTCTTTTCTTCTCTTCTATTCTTCTTTTCCTTCAAGAGATTAAATGATGCCCTACAAAAAAACAAATATATCTCTCATATCTCTCATTTTGCCTAGGAGCCTTTTCAGGTTTTCATCCTAGCATCTCTTTTTGTTTTTCCATCCTTTCCAAACTCACTCAATTTTTTTTATACGCCATTTTTGCTTAGATTGCCCGTTTTTGGGTTTTCAACCTAACTAGCATTATTATCATTTTTTATTGTTTTTTTTGGAGAAAATAATGCAAGTTACAAGGTAGAAAAATTAAGTACGTACCAATGAGTGACTCCCCCTCACTTAACTCGAAGCACTGTCCCTAGTGCCCGCCATTATCACTTTTTTTTAAGATATAAAGTTGTGGATTGGGAGAGAGGTGGTTGCTTCCAAGAGTTTGTGGATTAGAGGGTATATGGAGCAAGAGGAAAGTGATGAGAACAAGATTCTAATTTTTTTGTGGGGTTTGGTGGAGGATTTGGATAGATTTTGAAGAAAGAGGGATATGGTTAGGAGGTTTGGGGTAATTGAATTGGGTTCGAATTTGGAAAAGGCGAATGGGGTGATTTGTTTTAAAGTGCAAAAATAAAATAAAATAAGTAAACATACCTTGCATGGGTTGCCTCCCAAGAAGCGCCTCGTTTAACGTCGTGGCACGACGCCGTCATTGTGTTCAATCGTTCAAACTCGGATCGTGATAATTTATCTTCTTCACACTTTCACTCCTAGGACTTCCATAGGAATGCTCAATTTCTCGATTCTTCACTTTGGAAATCGTTCCATGATCAAATATCCAAATTTTCATTGATTCATGTGGTGGGAGGAAGGGGAAGAAATTATCGTTCAGCATGGTCAATGAAAAGTTTTTCGATCCTTCAATTTTGAAGAAGATTTCGGAAATGTCATTGTCTTTTTCAAGTTTACGAGTTTCTCTTAAAGCTTCCAGAGATGATGGAGATACCTCAAAGGATGACAATGACAAAAATTCAAATTTGAAGCTCGGCTTATTCTCTTCTTTGACCAGTTGGAGCTCCGTGTCTTTTTCTTCTTCTACTTCTTCTAGATTCTGGATCTCCTTTTGCATTTCCTTTTCATTTGTCAATGTGATTGCAAAAGTTTGCTGTTTAGGATCACATTCTATTTGAGAAGGAAGTTTTTCCGAATCCCTTGCTTCAAGTCTACTCACGACTCCGGCTATTTGAATCATTTGAGTTTCCAAGTTTGAAATACTAGACTTGGTCTCATTTTGGAATTGCACCATGTTGTTCTGCATGGTGGTCATGTTGGTAGCAATAGCCCGAACCATATCCTCCGTAGACATGTTAGAGTTGGAGAACGGATCATACCTCATGTGAGGTACATCCCTTTCGTAACCAACATCATCCATTTGTTCAAGGTATTCATCTTGGAGCTTTGGGCAGAAATCCGTTAGATGCCTGTGAGACATGCAAATGTTGCATGTCTTGGCATCTTGAGCTTTTATGCTTAAGATAAATTCATTTATTAGAGAAGTCAAGAAGGAAATTTGACTCTCTAAGGATGAAATGTTGGTATCCATACACTCATAACTCATGTAAGCTCAGAAAATAAAAGAGTAAGTTTTTTTTTATATATTTTTTTATTATATTTTTTTTTGTTTTTGCTTTTTATGAGATAAAATAAAAAGAAAAATAATTGCCTTTCCCCGGCAACGGCGCCAAATTTGACGTGCACTTTGTCGTGTGTGCACTCAAATTAAATTCAATACTAGCACTAATACGTAGTATAGTGAAGTAGAGTTCGTATCCACAGGGAAATGAATAATTCTCTTTTTATGAACTAGTAAATAAAAGGGGGGGGTTGGTATTGTTGGAATTTAATTAATTAAATACTAAGATGAAGAACTTATGTGAGATTTAATTCAAAGATAAAAAGGACTTGGCATTGCTACTTTCCACTTGTTGATATATATTTTAGTCGATCATTGTTATATCTATAACTTATCCCCTCTCGAATACTCAATCGAGGAGTATATCCAATTCATCGAGGGTAGTTATTAACAACGACCGTTCATTAATAACCCTTACTATTAGTCAAGTATAGAACACCGCCATATACCGACTTGATAGTAGCATTTAATCTCTTAACTCATTGATGAAATCAATTGAGATTGATAACCTCAACACAACGGTTTTGGTTTAACCAACAAAATTAATCCCTCTTAAGTTTATTCACCACGACCGTGCATTAATAAACCGAAGTTACTTACTTGTGAAATTATCAACGATTAACCATCGGTTCGTTGAACGTTTCTAGTAGTAATTAATGTTGAGATGTTAACTAATTGTCATCTTAGCAACACTCCCCAACATTAACATAGAGATAGATTAAGGGAAGAATTAATATTCAAGGAAGAAAGTTAAATATGAATAATCCTACTATAACTAATGTCAAGATGTTATCTAATTGTCATCTTAGCAACACTCCCCAACATTAATATATAGAGGAAGAAAATAAATACTACTATAACTAATGTCGAGATGTTAACTAATTGTCATCTTAGCAACACTCCCCAACATTAATATATAGATAGATTAAGAGAATAATTAATATTCAAGGGAAGAAGTTAAGAAAATAACTCACAACTTTAATAATCAACAAGCTTCAAGAGCAACACCAAGAAATGGAAGTTTAGCTCCTCATTTGGAGACTAAACATGCTATAAAAATATAAAAGAAATACTATTCTAAACTGAGCTTAAGAGTATGGAAGAAGGGATGTTTTAATGTGAAGGAAAAGGGGTGTATTTATAGCAAAATAGAGGTGGCAGGGTTCGGTACTCGATCCAGTATATGGGATACTGGACCGAGTATGAGAGGAAATTTCCAGGAAATTGTGAAAAATAGGCATACTCGACCGAGTATTGCCAATACTCGACCGAGTATGCGACAGGATTTTCATCAAATATTCAGCCACGTTCTTTTGCTCCCAGATTTGATTTTGACCAGCGTATCTGGCCAATACTCGACCGAGTATTGGCAATACTCGACCGAGTATTGAACAAATTTCAAGATCTTCATTTGATCTTCTCCTTTTTGCACATTCTTTGGTCTTTAGGATCCATCCTTTGATTCTTGGGATGATTTTGACCTATCCTAAGCTCAATATAATCCTAATCTAAATACATTACAAATAATTAATGAAAATAAAGTATTACACCAAAAGTGTGTAATTTCCACAACTAGAACTAATAAAACTAGTTAAAAATACAAACATACATAATAGGAAATTCACCCTATCAGATTCCCTCAACGGCTAGGTGTCCCTCAACGAAAAAGCTACATGATAGCATTTAATGCTCATTTAATGAGCCCTATACTCTGAAGAGTTAAAGCTGATGATTGACCGAGATTCCTGGAAAGTCTACCCCCAAAATAGCAAGCCGTCAACCTTGCGGGCCCAACCGGTCAACTCAACAGTACACGCATTCAATGCAGTTGTCTCCTCCTCCAACGGGAAGACAACCCTAGTATAAAAGATACTTGATGAAGAACAACCGGATAACTTTTGCTCTCTCTACAACCTTCAAAAGCTTTCTTGAGATTCAAACTCCATCTCTAAAAACAAGAAAAAGCTTACGTTGGAAAGATCATAATCTCATATATTCTTCTACTCCAACAAGAGCAAAGTTCCTCCAGTTCTTCAACACTTCAAGCACTTCAACTACAAACTCTTTGTGACGAAGCAAGTTGGCTAAAACTCTGTTTTCACAAACATCTTCTGTTAAAGAAGGGCGTCTTAAAGTAACTGGAGTAAGTGAAGTGGTGATACTTTAAGGAGACTCAGTGAAACAAGATCAGTCTTAAAGGAAACAAGGAAGTGCATCCCAGGAGACATCTACACTTGAAGAAGACGTGAACAACTTCTTAAGTGCTAGGACTTAAGTGTTGAAATTGGTTTATTCCAAGCTTAGTGGAACAGTGGATTAGAGGAACACGTTGTTCCTTGAACCACTATAAAAATCCCTGGTGTCATTTACTTACTGCTTTTTATCTACTTTCAGTTGAACTGCTTAACTCCACAGAAGTGGTATCTGTGTTCAGCAGAACACCTCTTGTGAGTTAACAGAAGGCCTTGTAACACCCCGATTTTAGCGATCTAGTTACTTTAATCTTTTATTTTATTTAGTCAGTTAAATAAGATTATTGTATGAATAATGTGATTTATTGTTTGATCATGTGTTTTTCTGGCAGGTAACGTTGACTGGTAAGCTCTAATAATTTTAAGTGGAGAAAATAAGTAATGTTTTAAAGTTTAATCAGTTGATTTCGAAATAGAAAATACTTTTAATGTGCTAGATTTCTTTTTTTAAGAGGTCATTAGAAGCCCAATTCAGTTAATTTGGCCCAGATAAATGTGTTTAGGGCTGAAATCCCTAGGAAGACAAAATAGAATATATAACCACCGTAAACCTTTGAGGATCGGCTCTTTTCCTTAGCTGCTACCGGCCGTTTCTTTCATCCTGGAATCTTTCTTTCCAACTCTCAAATTGTTGGCCAAAGATTTAATCAGATTGTCGTTCTGCATCCTTTAACAAGGTAAGCTGAATTCCTTTTCCTCTGTTAAATTACCTCCGTCTCTTCTTTTCTCTTTGAACTCTTAGATTCTTCCTCCCAGAATCATTCAGATTATAACATCTTCAATCAGCTATGATTATTTCTTTCTCTGTAATCGTTCTTCCTTACCTCTGTGAGTATAGATGATGGTGGCTGAGTTTTTTTTTTTTTTTTTTTTGCTATTATAGTTTGATTAGAGGCATTTTAAACAGAGATGCGAATTTTTGCAAAATTAATCATTAGTTTAAAATTTTATCTGCAGCCTATTCTTCCACTACGTGATTTTATGATTTAGCAGATTTTATCCTTATTTTGGAATCAGCATTTAACACCTTAGTGTTTTAATTCAAATTTTGACTTTAAAGGGGCTGGTTAGTTCGGGTGTTAAACTAAACTTTAGTTTAGTAAACTTCCATCAGTTAATATGAAGTAGCCGTCCAGCAGTCAGTATTTAATATAGAAAATTTTAGTTTGTTATTAATTGAGAAAGTTTCAGTTTGGAGTTGATATGGAGAGTTTTCAGTTTTTGGTTTAATTTAGGTTGCACCAGTCTGTAAACTACATAAGCAACGTGATTTCTGAGATGGTGCACCTGCGCACATAGTGATAATTTTTATTTGATCTTAGCAGTAAGAAAGGATTTTCTTCCTCCAGTAAATTCTAATTATATTGTATATTTAAGTTGAGAGTTTTAAGAAGAGCTTACCGGAGGACGTTATCAAGGTGCCGCACTTATTTGAGTAATTTGAGTTCAGCTCCTAACAGGTAAGTTCACTACCACCTGTACATGTTTGTTCAACCAAATGCAAGAAAGAAGTCTGGTTGATTTTTAATAGATAATTTTAGACTATTTGCTATTATGTGAACTATGTGAATTATGTGATGAGTTATGTTATTTGCTGGATTAAATTATGTTTATTATCTGGCATAATCAAGATTTGTCAGTACTTTTGTTTCAGAATAAATGATATTTTTAGTCAAACGTCACCATAAAAAGAACTAATATTTAAAGTGAAAGATCAGGTGATATGTACTCGGGAACAAGTTCCCTCAGTTTATCAGTTATCAGCTTATCAGTTTCAGAGAGTCCGATATGTTTAGTGGGTCGCTCCCCTGAGCTGTCGGATTGGCGCCTTTTGAGTACATATCACGGGCCCACAGTTAAAATTAGCCACAAAGAGTTTACAGAAAGTTGTTTTGAGATCTCTTTCAGAAAGTTTTACAGAAAGTTGTTTATGAGATCTCTTCAGAAAGTTTTACAGAAAGTTGGTTATTAAGATCTCTTTCAGAGTTTTACAGAGATGTTTTTCTGAAATAAATTTTGAGATCTCTAGCAGTTTTGAGAAAATATTTTAGGAAATGTTTTCCCTTTGAGATCTCCCTCAGAATGTATTTGAGAAGTTATGTGTTAGTTATTTGTTCAGTGCGTGCTTATAGCCTAAATTTATCTATTGATAAATTGGCATAGACTTCTAGATATTTTTGTGGATCTATAGTGACTTACTAAGCGTAAAGCTTATCAGTTTCTTTCTTCGCATGTACAGATACTAAAGGTAAGGCCAAGGCCTAGGAAGGTGATGAGAGAGTGGAACGCGTGCCAAGACGAGTTATGGGGACGACCTTGGCGGCTTCCAGCTAGCTATTATTATATTTCAGTATTTCAGTATTTCAGTTCTTATAGTTAAGAGATTGTTATTACTTTATTTTATTTTATTTGAGGATTCGAGTTTGAATAAATTCCTGGATCCAGGTGGTTATCACATTTGCTAGTGATAACTAGACTTTATTGAGTTTTTATTTGGAGTTAAATTTTAGCTACATTTGAGATTTTATCAGGGTTATTTCTTAAACAAACGGCCGTTATATTGCAGTTTATTTTTAAAAGTAGTATGCTAGTGTAGCGTTCCCTTTAACCCTGAGAGGGGCGTTACATGTTTGGTATCAGAGCCTAGGTTGTCCCGTAACTTCATCTGTCACCGTACACGTGCTCATCATCTTCCAAGTAAGTATTTTAAGTTAAGTTTTAAATTTCTGTACATGAGTAAGAAGAATTTATTAGATAGAAAGCAGTAGTGAGAATGTTTTGTTTTTTTTTAGTATTGTGTATGGCACATAAATAAAAGTTTATATTTAGGTGCCTTACGAAAATGAGGAGAACCCGTGGTCGTCCAGTAGGTGGCAGCAATGCTCAAGGAAGCAGTAATGAGCAAGGAAACAATCACGAGCAAGATTTGGCAGGTATTGTAGCGCAACTTCAAAGGCAATTGCAGGAGCAGCAACAAACTATTGACCGATTGACCGCGAACAATCAAAGGGGCGGTGGTGAAGGAGGAAATGCTGGAGATAATCAAGCTAGGGGGAATGGAGCACCGAGGCGAGAACCACTAATGATAACTTGGAGGAAGATCAAGCCCGCAGATTTTGAGGGGGGTCCCGACCCTCTAGCTGCTCAGGGATGGCTGAAGACCATTGAAGGCATTGCTAATGGTTTGGAATTAGCAGATAATGACAAGGTTCGATGCGCGTCTTATAGCCTCACCATGGATGCTCGAATATGGTGGGAGACTGTGGAAACAAGGTATAACGTTGCGCAGATGACATGGGAGCAGTTCAAAGAGGAGTTCACCAACCAGTATTTCAATGCTAGTGTCACACGTAAGTACCAGGATGAGCTTCAGAATCTACGTCAGGGAACCATGGATGTAGCAACCTTGGCGGCACAATTTCAGAGACTACTACGTATTTGCCCTACAGCTGCTCCGACAGAGAGGGATAAGGTGAAGTTGTTCCTGAAAGCCCTTAGGAAGGATATAGCAGTTCACTTGGAGAACGGTAACCAGACCCCAGCTACATTAGTTGACTGTGTCCTTATAGCGAGTCAAAAGGAGTACTACCTCCCTACCGATCCAGTGCCCGCTCAGCCGCAACATGTGCCTTTACAGTCGCAGAATCAACCACAGGGATACACGAACAATTCAAAGAATAACAAGAAGAGAAGCTTTAAGGGCAGTGATGGCAAGGGAGTTGGACGTCATCAGGAGCGACAAAATAAACAGATGAAGTTTCCGCAGTGTGCGAATTGTGGCCGTAATCATCCAGGCCAATGCAGATTGGGTTCGAGAGCTTGCTTCACTTGTGGCCTTGAGGGACATATGTTCAAAGATTGTCCAAGAAAGAATCAGCAAGGCTACCAGATCACTCAGATGCCGAGGAATCCAGCACCTTCAGCGGTTGTCCATAATATGCAGGCTTATCTAGAAGGACCATCCATCCAGCAAGGACGTCTTGAAGCACCACCAGAGGCCCCGGTTGCTAGAGTGTTCACAATCTCAAGGGAAGAGGCATCGATAAATCCTGGCGTGGTCACAGGTCAGATACTTGTTCTTAGTAGATATGCTAATGTGTTATTTGACACTGGAGCTACGCATTCCTTTGTGTCTCTTGAGTTTGCTAGACCCTTAGCAGTACATCAAGATAAGTTAGATTATCAGTTCACCACAGCACTTCCGTCAGGAGATATCATGTTGTCGACTCATTGGCTACGAGCAGTGTCAATGAGTGTTGCGGGAAGAGAGTTATTTGTAGATCTGATTGTGCTCAACATGAAGGATTATGATGTGATTCTCGGCATGGATTTTCTGCAGAAGTATAACGCTTCAATTATATGCCGAAAGAGAATTGTTAGTTTTGCGCCTGCAGGGTCTGATCCTTTCTTATTTCTTGGGGAACCAAAAAGATCAAGGAAGGTGATGATTTCTGCATTGCAAGCAAGGAGACTTATTCGGGGTGGATGTGAAGCTTTCTTAGCTCATGTAGTAGGCAAAAACTCAGGGGAACCCATGCAGCTTTCTGAAGTTCCTGTTGTGGAAGGTTACAGTGATGTATTCCCCGAAGATCTCTCAGGATTACCACCCAGTAGAGAGATTGAGTTCGAGATTGAGCTGCTGCCCGGTACCGCACCGATATCTAGAGTACCATATCGAATGGCCCCAGCGGAGTTGCAAGAACTCCATAAGCAGTTGCAGGAGTTGCTAGAGAAGGGTTTCATTCGGCCCAGCTACTCGCCCTGGGGAGCTCCAGTATTATTCGTGAAGAAGAAGGATGGCACAATGAGGTTGTGCATAGATTACAGAGAACTCAATAAAGTGACTATCAAGAATAGGTATCCCCTGCCTAGAATTGATGACCTGTTTGACCAGTTGAAGGGAGCAGTGATTTTCTCCAAGATTGACCTTCGTTCAGGGTATCATCAGCTAAGAATCAAAGAAGGAGACATCCCAAAAACAGCTTTCAGGTCGCGGTATGGACACTATGAATTTGTGGTTATGCCGTTCGGCCTAACTAATGCTCCGGCGGCGTTTATGGATCTGATGAATAGAGTGTTCCGGGAGCTTCTTGACAAGTTTGTCATTGTTTTCATTGATGATATTTTGATCTACTCAAAGTCTAAGGAGGAGCATGAAGAACACTTGAGAGAAGTATTGGAGACACTGAGGAAACATAAGCTATATGCTAAGTTTTCAAAGTGTGAGTTCTGGCTTGACCAAGTAGCATTCCTTGGCCACGTAGTTTCAAAGCAAGGAGTTTCGGTGGATCCCTCAAAGGTAGCGGCTGTTCGAGATTGGAGCAGGCCAAAGAATGCGAAAGAAGTTCGAAGTTTCTTAGGCCTTGCGGGGTATTATAGGAAGTTTGTGGAAGGCTTCTCTGCTATAGCTCTTCCATTGACAACCTTGACCCGTAAGGGTAAGAAGTTTGAGTGGACTGATCGTTGTGAGAAGAGTTTCCAAGAGCTGAAAAATAGGTTGACATCTGCACCCGTCTTAGCACTCCCAGAAGGCAAGGAAAGGTTTGTTATCTACACAGACGCATCGAAGATGGGACTTGGAGCAGTTCTTATGCAGAATGAACGCGTTATTGCGTATGCATCTCGACAACTCAAGGAGCATGAGGCAAATTATCCCACCCATGACTTGGAGTTAGCAGCGGTGATTCATGCCTTGAAGATTTGGAGACATTACTTGTATGGAGTCCAGTGCAAGATCTTCACTGATCATAAAAGTTTAAAATATATATTCACGCAGAAGGACCTCAACATGAGGCAAAGAAGGTGGCTTGAGCTAGTGAAAGACTACGATTGTGAGATCCTTTATCACCCGGGAAAAGCCAACAAGGTAGCAGATGCACTTAGCAGAAAGTCTTCTGCAACAGTAATGGTTATGATGGTAATGGATCCAAAGTTGAGAAAGGAAATTGAAGATTTTGAGTTAGAGATTGTAAATGGGCGTTACATGTTTGGTATCAGAGCTATAAAACAAGAACTTGATCCCGAGTTAGTTAAGTTGAAGGAGTGCGTCAAGGAGGGAAAATGTCCCGAATTCCGTTTGGATGAGAGTGGGAGATTATTACTTCAAAACAGATTGTGCATTCCAGACGTCGAGGGATTGAGGAAGCAGATTATGAAGGAGGCTCATGACACACCATTCACTATGCATCCTGGTTCGACCAAGATGTACCATGACTTGAAGAAAAACTTTTGGTGGTCAGGTATGAAGAAAGATGTTGCGAAGTTCGTCCAATCATGTCTGACGTGTCAACAAGTAAAGGCTGAACATCAAAGACCAGGTGGAGAGCTTCAGCCTATCCAGATTCCAGAGTGGAAATGGGATGAGATATCCATGGACTTTATTATGGGTTTGCCGAAGACAACGGGAGGTTATGACGCTATATGGGTTATAGTGGATAGATTGACTAAATCTGCTCATTTTATCCCAATTTCAGCAAGTATATCTTTGGAAAAGTTGGCAAAGTTATATATTCAGGAGATTGTGAGACTGCATGGTGTCCCGAAGAGTATTATTTCTGACAGAGATTCCAGATTTACCTCTCACTTTTGGAAGTGCGTACAACAATCATTGGGCACAAAGTTGAAGTTTAGTACTGCTTTTCATCCTCAGACCGATGGTCAGACAGAGAGGACAAACCAGATTTTGGAGGATATGCTGCGGGCATGTGCACTAGATTTTCAAGGAGGATGGGTGAAATACCTAAGTCTGGCGGAGTTTGCTTATAATAATAGTTATCAAGCAACCATCGACATGGCTCCATATGAGGCGTTGTATGGGAGAAGGTGTAGATCTCCCATATCATGGTGTGAAACAGGAGAGAAGAAGATCCTAGAAGAGGAACTGCAAGGGAGGACTGAGTTGATAGATGAGACCTCAGAAGCTATTAAAACTATCCGGCAAAGGATAGAATCTGCCCAGTGCAGACAGAAAAGTTATGCAGATGTTCGGAGAAGGCCTCTAGAGTTTGAAGTGGGGGATTTTGTTTTCGTTAAAATAGCCCCGATGAAGGGAGTGATGCGGTTTGGAAAGAAAGGAAAGCTTAGCCCAAGATTCACCGGACCATATGAGATCACTAGACGAGTGGGGAAAGTAGCTTACGAGCTCGCGCTACCTGAAGAGTTTTCTGGCATTCATAATGTTTTCCATGTTTCGATGTTGAGGAAATACTTTGCTGATCCGGAGCATGTTTTGATACCACCATCAATAGAAGTGCAAAATGATTTGTCTTACGAGGAGAAGCCAGTACAAATTCTTGACCGAGAGGTTAGACGTCTCCGGAATAAGGAGATAGCTTTAGTAAAAGTGTTGTGGCGAAATGACAAAGTAGAAGAGGCGACTTGGGAAGCTGAGGACGACATGAAACGTCGTTATCCCGAATTGTTCTAAGTTTCGAGGACGAAACTTTTATAAGGTGGGAGGGGTTGTAACACCCCGATTTTAGCGATCTAGTTACTTTAATCTTTTATTTTATTTAGTCAGTTAAATAAGATTATTGTATGAATAATGTGATTTATTGTTTGATCATGTGTTTTTCTGGCAGGTAACGTTGACTGGTAAGCTCTAATAATTTTAAGTGGAGAAAATAAGTAATGTTTTAAAGTTTAATCAGTTGATTTCGAAATAGAAAATACTTTTAATGTGCTAGATTTCTTTTTTTAAGAGGTCATTAGAAGCCCAATTCAGTTAATTTGGCCCAGATAAATGTGTTTAGGGCTGAAATCCCTAGGAAGACAAAATAGAATATATAACCACCGTAAACCTTTGAGGATCGGCTCTTTTCCTTAGCTGCTACCGGCCGTTTCTTTCATCCTGGAATCTTTCTTTCCAACTCTCAAATTGTTGGCCAAAGATTTAATCAGATTGTCGTTCTGCATCCTTTAACAACGTAAGCTGAATTCCTTTTCCTCTGTTAAATTACCTCCGTCTCTTCTTTTCTCTTTGAACTCTTAGATTCTTCCTCCCAGAATCATTCAGATTATAACATCTTCAATCAGCTATGATTATTTCTTTCTCTGTAATCGTTCTTCCTTACCTCTGTGAGTATAGATGATGGTGGCTGAGTTTTTTTTTTTTTTTTTTTTTTGCTATTATAGTTTGATTAGAGGCATTTTAAACAGAGATGCGAATTTTTGCAAAATTAATCATTAGTTTAAAATTTTATCTGCAGCCTATTCTTCCACTACGTGATTTTATGATTTAGCAGATTTTATCCTTATTTTGGAATCAGCATTTAACACCTTAGTGTTTTAATTCAAATTTTGACTTTAAAGGGGCTGGTTAGTTCGGGTGTTAAACTAAACTTTAGTTTAGTAAACTTCCATCAGTTAATATGAAGTAGCCGTCCAGCAGTCAGTATTTAATATAGAAAATTTTAGTTTGTTATTAATTGAGAAAGTTTCAGTTTGGAGTTGATATGGAGAGTTTTCAGTTTTTGGTTTAATTTAGGTTGCACCAGTCTGTAAACTACATAAGCAACGTGATTTCTGAGATGGTGCACCTGCGCACATAGTGATAATTTTTATTTGATCTTAGCAGTAAGAAAGGATTTTCTTCCTCCAGTAAATTCTAATTATATTGTATATTTAAGTTGAGAGTTTTAAGAAGAGCTTACCGGAGGACGTTATCAAGGTGCCGCACTTATTTGAGTAATTTGAGTTCAGCTCCTAACAGGTAAGTTCACTACCACCTGTACATGTTTGTTCAACCAAATGCAAGAAAGAAGTCTGGTTGATTTTTAATAGATAATTTTAGACTATTTGCTATTATGTGAACTATGTGAATTATGTGATGAGTTATGTTATTTGCTGGATTAAATTATGTTTATTATCTGGCATAATCAAGATTTGTCAGTACTTTTGTTTCAGAATAAATGATATTTTTAGTCAAACGTCACCATAAAAAGAACTAATATTTAAAGTGAAAGATCAGGTGATATGTACTCGGGAACAAGTTCCCTCAGTTTATCAGTTATCAGCTTATCAGTTTCAGAGAGTCCGATATGTTTAGTGGGTCGCTCCCCTGAGCTGTCGGATTGGCGCCTTTTGAGTACATATCACGGGCCCACAGTTAAAATTAGCCACAAAGAGTTTACAGAAAGTTGTTTTGAGATCTCTTTCAGAAAGTTTTACAGAAAGTTGTTTATGAGATCTCTTCAGAAAGTTTTACAGAAAGTTGGTTATTAAGATCTCTTTCAGAGTTTTACAGAGATGTTTTTCTGAAATAAATTTTGAGATCTCTAGCAGTTTTGAGAAAATATTTTAGGAAATGTTTTCCCTTTGAGATCTCCCTCAGAATGTATTTGAGAAGTTATGTGTTAGTTATTTGTTCAGTGCGTGCTTATAGCCTAAATTTATCTATTGATAAATTGGCATAGACTTCTAGATATTTTTGTGGATCTATAGTGACTTACTAAGCGTAAAGCTTATCAGTTTCTTTCTTCGCATGTACAGATACTAAAGGTAAGGCCAAGGCCTAGGAAGGTGATGAGAGAGTGGAACGCGTGCCAAGACGAGTTACGGGGACGACCTTGGCGGCTTCCAGCTAGCTATTATTATATTTCAGTATTTCAGTATTTCAGTTCTTATAGTTAAGAGATTGTTATTACTTTATTTTATTTTATTTGAGGATTCGAGTTTGAATAAATTCCTGGATCCAGGTGGTTATCACATTTGCTAGTGATAACTAGACTTTATTGAGTTTTTATTTGGAGTTAAATTTTAGCTACATTTGAGATTTTATCAGGGTTATTTCTTAAACAAACGGCCGTTATATTGCAGTTTATTTTTAAAAGTAGTATGCTAGTGTAGCGTTCCCTTTAACCCTGAGAGGGGCGTTACAGGCCTAGTGCCTTTGCATCTCTGTGAGGCTATCCCGACAGAACACCTACCAGAAGACCATCCGCTGCCAGTCTGTTCTCAACAGAACAAGCTATTCTGTTAACCTTGGTACTTAGCTTGAAAAAGTTAAAAACCATAACAGTCTATTCACCCCCCCTCTAGACTGTTACCTTGACAATCAGGACCAACAATAATCAAAGTAGTTCTATTTGATTTTGTCTTTCTAAACATGAAAGCTTCTATTGGTTTCAATTCAATTTTGGACTTCTCATTTTCTCAAATGATTAAAAATTTATACAATTGATTGAAAAAAGCTGAATGTTAGTCGATCCCAAATTCGGTTGGGATTAAGGCTTTGATGTTGTGGTTCTAACTTGCTTATTTTATTCATATTTTATCAATTCAACATATACATAAATTTACCTTTTTTGAATTTTACTTTTCTTGGTAACCAAGGTTATATCAATGTTGGGGGGCGGGGTACTATGAATGAACTACAAGAAAATAAAAAATAGAAATGAGAGAAGGAATAATTAAGGTAAAATGCTCATAAAAACTTCCTTAAATATAAGAGGAAGATAAAATATAGGGAGAACTACAAAATAAGCCCTTGAACTTACATAAAAAGTGCAAATCACCTCTTATATAAGAGGCTCTGTCCGGCCGTTGCCATTTGGGGCGGTTCCCGGGGAATTTTTTAATGAATTTTTTGAGCATCTTATTCATTATGTCTAGTTTACTCATACCAAATTTAAGCTAAAAATTCAACCTGAAAGGTAGCCAAAATGCCAAATGATTTTCTGAAATATACTGCGGTGTTTAACCGCACAATCATCTTCAAAAATCATTTGACTTCCTTCCTAATTGAATTTTTAGCTGAAATTTTGTGTGAGTAAACTAAACTTAATGAATAAGATGCTCAAAAAATTTAAGCTAAAAATTCAACCGGGAACCGCCCCAAATGGCGACGGCCGGACAATGCCTCCTATATAAGGGGTGATTTGCACTTTGTAAGTTCAAGGGCTTATTCGATAGTTCCCCTTAAAATATAAGATAAACAGGGTAAAAAGAATATACATATAATAGGCTGGGTACTCCTTCAGAACGCTCGCCGTTACCCTCTAGGTAGGGTTTTCTTCCTTCTGCCGATGGTGCGGCTCTTTGATTCAAACGAAGGTCTGTCGCAAGAAGCTTTGACAGGGACAAGACTTTGGCGACGGTTGGAGACTTGGTGCACGATCTTTCTATTTTTTTGACTTCAAAAACTTTCTTTCTCTCTCTTGTCGAGATCTGTGGTTTTTCTCTGGCGTGTCGAGAGCGGTGCAATGCCGCACTTCTGTGGATCGTATTTTTCTTTTTCATTTTGATCAGGTTCAAGAAAGGATAATCATAACTTTTATGGATGATCTAGACCAGCGTTGTCCCATTCTAGCAATTGAGGAGGAGGTTGAAGGATTGTTTTTTGGCGGATCAACATGGGTGGAGAGTGGTGGAGGCAGCACGAGTGACTAACAAACGGGGAGCGGTAAAGGGCTGAGCAAAGGAGAAGATAGATTGAGGGTCCGCCCCCCTTTTGAACCGCTGCCTTGGAGCGATCGAGGTGTCAGAGTTTGGAAGATGATATTTCAATAAAATTGCAGGAAGGAGTTTGGAATATTTATGAGTTATTTTATTCTTTATGCTCTATCGCATTATGTTTGTTTAAGTTGCTATGTTTTTCGTTGATGTCTTCAGTTTTAGTTCTACAATAATGATTAACAATTCTGCTAGATATTACTCCCTCCGTCCCAAAAACAACTTCCCACTTTCCTTAAATGGATGTCCCAAAATTAACTTCACACTTCAATATTTTCCTTATTTGGCAAATTATCTACATAAAAAAAGTGATAAACAGTGCCAAACAATGTTTAAACAGTGCCAAACAGTGTTTAAACAGTGCCAAACAGTGTTTAAACAGTGCAAAACAGTGCACTTTACAGTAAAGTCAAATTTATTTTCTAAAAGTGTGTGAAAGTCCAACTGTGAAGTTGTTTTCGGGACGGAGGGAGTATATCATTAGAAGGATCTATATGCCAAGTGATTGTTGCACCACGCCCATTTGGTGGTTAGCGATTCATATTGCTCTTTCAGAGGTGATCGTTTCTAAGTCTAGCCGTATGGTTGATAGTGCTATTTGGTTTCAGATAGTTGTTGTCGGTGTTGGCCTTTTTGAGTTTGTTGTAACGATATGAATCCTAATGATATTAGTATACGAAAGATAAAGAAGATAAAAGATAAAAGAAAAAAAAGATGAAAAAGATCAATCCTCTACATGAATTCCATCTGAGGGTAGAGTTATCTTGAGTAGAAATGTTGTCTTTGATGAGAACTCTATGATTAACCCTACCGTGAAGTATATTATTATGTCAGAAAGCAGTAGTGTTGATAAACAGGTGGAGCAAGAAATCCCCTTTGATAAGGGTGAACCACAACAAAAAAATCAACCACTGCAGTCTAAATATGTGAGCGGTCAATCAGGCCCAATTTTGGAAAGCCTCCGAACAGATTTGGTCGTGAAGACAATATGGTGGGTTTTGCACTTTCGGTTGCTGAAGAGGTGGATCCATTTTCTACTGAACCATCCACCTACCAAGTTGCAGTTACTAGTACCGAGTCATCCAAATGGCTAGGTGCAATGGGAGATGAGATTGAGTCACTTCAAAAGAACCAGACCTGGGAATTGACCAAGAGACCGAGGGGCAAGAAGATTTTTTACATGCAAATGGGTTTTCAAAAAAAATGAAGGGGAAACAGAGGTTGAAGGGGTTAAGTATAAAGCTTGAGTCGTATCTAGGGGGTTCACACAGAGAGAGGGTGTAGAGTATAATGAGATCATCTCACCGGTGGTCAGACATACTCCCATCAGGGTGTCACTAGCGATAGTTGACATTAGGATCTATAGCCCGAACAACTAGATGTTAAACATCTTTCTTACATGGAGAGTTGGGATAAGAGATATACTTGACCCAACCAGAAGGATCTTAAGACCCTGGAAAAGAAGATTATGTTTCCAGGATGAAAAAGTCCTTATATGGGCTAAAACAGTCTCCCATCCAGACAATGGTATAAGCGGTTTGATAGCTATATGATGTAGATCGGCTATAGAAGATGCCCGTATGATTGTTTTTATTACTGTAAGGCTGCAAATGATTCTTTCATTTATCTAGTCCTGTATGTCAATGATATTCTTATAGCTGCAGAGATGAATTTTGATGTTCAGAAGTTGAAGGGTCTCCTCAATAGTGAGTTTGAATTGAAAGATTTAGGTGCAACGAAGAAAATTCTGGGAATGGAGATCTACATGGATAGAAGAAAGAAGAAGCTTTTCTTATCACATAAAGGCTATATTCAGAAAGAATTGTCCAAGTTTGGCATGTCTACAACTAAATTGATACATACTTCTAATGCATCAAATGCACATCTATATGTTGTTTTTGCTCTTAAATCAACCGAAGAAAGGGCATATATGTCTCGGGTTCCTTATGCTAATGTAGTAGGAAGTTTGATGTATGCTATGGTTTGTACTAGACCTGATCTAGCACACTCTGTTAGTGTGGTGAGTCGGTTCATGGGTGATCCAGGTAAAGAACATTGGCAAGCTGTGAAGAGGATCTTCCGGTACCTTAAGGGTACATATGATGTTGGTCTCATTTATGGGGGTGATAGAAGATACAGAGTGTTGAGTGTCTTGGTATTCTCACTCGGATTATGTTAGAGATGTGGACAATAGAAGATCAATGGTTGGTTATGTTTTCACTCTTGGTGGTTCGATTGTTAGTTGGAAGGCTACTTTGCAGCCTACAGTAACATTGTCTACAACAGAAGATGAGTATATGGCATTGACTGCAGCAGCTAAAGAGGGAATGTTGTTGAAAGGATTGATTAATGATCTGGGTCTACATCAAGATCAAACTATTGTGTATTGTGATAGTCTTAGTTCAATTTGTTTGGCTAAGGATCAAGTACATCATGAGAGAACTAAACATATTGACGTTAGATCTCATTTCCTAAGGAATGAGAAGAGAATAATTAAGGGTGAACGAAGCAGGTATTGTAGATAACTCAGCTGATATGTTTACCAAGCCAATTTCACAGAGCAAGTTCCAACACTATTTGGACTTGCTAAATATTAAGAGCAAGTCTATGTGGTGCATTTGACATCTATGTAGTGCATCTCGTACATCTGTTTGATTGTGAGTGGATTCAAGTCACGGTGGAGATTTGTTGGATTTATGCCTTAAATTTGTTTAGTCACCTCTTTGGGCTAGGATTCTACTTTGGGCCTATTCTATTGTTTTGAGCCTCTTCTAGGTTCTCTGTATTAGGTCTTAGAGAGTACAGAGTACTGTATAAACTCTCTAAGACTAACCTGACAGCCAATGAAATATACAACTTTGAATCTGTAATTTGAAACTTCTCAAACTAACATCAATAAAACTCTTCTCTCTTCTTCCCTGTGGATGTAGCTAACACACCGTTAGTGAACCACATAAATTTGTGTGTTGTTTTCTTTATCTTATATATTTGTCTTCCTCGTTTATGTTACAACATATATAATCATCGTGCACTTGCAAGGGCAATTCAACTCCGGGCACAAATTTAACAATGGACACAACACTTCAATATTCCACGAAAGAGGATCCTATCGGAGGCTAAATAAAGCTAAATTTTCTATAATGAAGTCAGATAAAATCTAACAAATAATGACAGGATGCCACATATGATTAGGTAACAGATAGATGTAGCTCGATCCAGACTTATTGATCTATATTCCTAACCCGGTAACCCCGGGCATTACTAGGTAATCCACTAATTAACATGAATCAGATGTTTGGGATTAAACTGTGTTTCGTAGCTGCAAAATACTATCAGACAAAAACACGCACTTAT